TACAATGACATTTGGATCTAATTTCCACGAGTGCCTGTTAATGACAGAGTAATGTTCCGTCTGAATACGTTAGTTCAATTTTGTATAGTTGTGTCCGTAAACCTGTGTGCCCACTAAGAATATGTATATATATATTATGTCCTATGGTTCCTATGAATAACAAAGGGCCACCACAAATTGGTTCCATTCAGATCTATTGGATGATTTTTGTTTTATCTATCTCCAGCTAAAACCGCATTGAGATATCTCAATCTCAAGTTGTCAAGCATCCTCTTCTCCGTGTGTTGCCCTGTGGTGTCTAGTCGATGGCTGCTTGGATCTACGTAGCGTATTACCTATCCATTTCCAATTGCGAAGGAGCATTTCGGTTTTTATACTTTAATTTATCCTGCGCCATAGCTTCTCATTTGATATTACCGCAGGCTGGAATATGCGATAGCACACAGATGTCATCTGCGTACTCTAGGCATTCCAGTCGTTCGTTGAGGCCCCATCTTATGCCCTTTTTACAGCGAGTGGCATTGCGAACAATGACATCAAGAATATGTATATACAATCAAACCAATATCTGCAAAGTGTCATCCCATAGGATATTAGTTGTCATATCCACCGTTTCATTATGTTTTTAATTTAACCTTCGTTACTTCCGACGCTTCTGTATTCGTCAGATTAACTTCCTTAAGCTTCCTTCCCTTCATTCACTACTGTTTTGCCGATTCTCCCCGAGTGGCCTCTAACCAGACCCACTACGTGATAAAAGACAAAAAAGGCCCGTGGTCAAAAGACCTTTGAGCCCTCAGTATAACTTTTGCTAAGTGGTAATCATTTTCACTGGTTCATATCTTACAAACCGTTCAGAATTTTGATTTATTCTCGAGGCAAAGTTTTAGCTCTTGCCATAAATAGCAAAAATTGTGAACATATAAAATTACTTTCAAGTGCTTCTCGAGGCTTCTTAGACGAATACTTAATATTTATAATATCAATAAATAAATAAAATAAACGTATACGTACAGGTGTCGTTAATAAAAGCAATCAAACTTCCGAATGGTTGTAGGCTATCATATGGTCGACCATGGCCGAATATACCTACTTATTACTTACTTGTTTTTCTTGAGAATTCATTGTTGCCGTTCTTTACAAGAGGCTTAATTGCCACTATATAAATTTTTAATTACAAAATTAAGCAAATAATTCTTAAAATCTCATCTACCAAAATGCATTACAATAAATATTCACAACGAAAATTTAATCTAAGTTATTTCCCCATATTATTTATGTAAATTTGTGCCTTTTCTATAGAAATAATATTAAAAAAAAATTAAATTAAATGATTAAATATAAAACTTGTATAATAAATATTAAATGCCTAATTAAAATGATTTGCAAATGCCTTGTTTTATCAAAAAAAATTTATTTAAAAATTCATATTCACAAATAACTCTCTATCAATGTATTTAATATTTATATATAAAAAAAACACCGCCAAAAAATATTTTAAACCAAATTTTACAACATTCACTCATATTTACAGAAGATTTAATCACAATAAACGCAAAAAAACATAAACAAATATTTAAACAAATATAAAAAAATAATGATAAAATACTCTCGTGCGAGTAGAGTAAACAATGATATTAAAGTAAAACATCACATGTAAACAATATTCATACATACATAAATACGTACATAATATGAATAACAATAACAACAACAACAATAAATGCATAATATAATACTTAGAGCACAGAGCTTATGTTAAATATTTACATACATATAACTAATTTAACAACAACAGCAACAACAACATTAGCAGAGAACAATTATTTACATGCAGACATTGATCCATTGACAAACATGCACATTACTCAATTCTTATACACACATACACATTAACACATTTACTCAAACGGAAATGTATGACAGACATTTTGTAATGAGAAAACGGAAATAAGAAAAGCAAACAAAATATAACAAAAGACTATTTAAGAGAAGAGAGAAAAAAAGCCTTCTTAAAAAAACAAAATACTTGCGTAAATAATAGGAAAAACACACACACAAACACGTATGTATATGCACACATACATTCATACTAATTTAGTAAAAAGAAAGAAAAGTAAAAAACAAATACAACAAAAGAAACAAATCTAGTTAAATGTATGCTGTAAATACAAATACATATTCTACATACATACATACTGACTTACTTACATACATGCCCCTAAAAGTCGGCATTTAGACACACAAGAATAATAATATGCCGATTTTAATAATTTTGTTGAATATTTAAAAAATGTCTTTAATTTTTATACAACAAAACAAAATAAGAAAAAGAAAAAAATATTAATAATATTTGTTTTTAATAATTAAATTAAATTTAAAACAAATAATTTTTGTTATTACTTATTTACGTATAATGTACTTTTTACACTTTATACACTTATTTCCTACCCCCTCCCCCCTTTTACAATTTAAGTTTTAACATTTTTCAACTGTAATTTTATTATTGTTAATTACTTAAATCCACTATTAAAATTTAAAAAACTGAAAATAATTACAAGAAAAACAAATACATTTTAATATTGTTAATTGTTTTATGTTGAACAAATAAAATGAGTCTATTATTATTGTTAAAATGAATACCAAAGAAAAGCATATAATATTGAAATTATTTTTAATTTAAAAGAAAAAATCTAAATAGAATTTAATTACAAAAGAAAAAATAATGGAAAGAAGACATAAAAACATCAAATAACAAAGATAATTATATTTATTTTATAAAATTATTTATTAGTAAATTTCAAACTTCAAATTATTGTAAATACACCAGAAAAAGCTTGGCATTAATAAAAATCTTAAATAAAATTTAACAAAAAAAAGTTTTATTCCTGCACAGTGGTATCTCATAAACTAATGGAGATATTTATAGCAACGAAATTAGGTAGGTTAATAGGTGGATGATCTATGTAGATATTACAGTCCCATGTTCAGAAACTCAGTTTCCTGTTATAATGTTATATCCGGAATATTTAGCTAGCAAGATATTTGAATCTTAATTCTACGAAAGCATGGGCCCATAGTTTCTCTACATTCGTATGAATCAGCATCTCCAATTTTTTATATGTAGTTGTGTCCATAATCCCGTTTGTTTATGTTAGGTTGATAGAAGTATGTTTATTAAATCAAATCCGAAGAAATACATGCTCTATATTCGTCTGAATCCGCACGTCCTATTTTGTATAGATATGCTCTTAATCCTACGTGTCCAGTCAGAATACGTACCATCATACAACCCACCACATTATTCTAAGAGGCCTTATGGGATTCTCTCACCCATACTTTGCGTTTGTCAGCTCCCTTCTCTTTAAAACTATTACATTCAAACTTTCGTAGCCGACTACTCCCGAGTGGCCTGGTACCCATATGATGTAAACCTTACCTATGGAGGAGTATTTGGTTAACGCTTTCCTACAATCCAATACGGTCATAGCTTTAATTATATCACCTGATATCGCCCTAATTCCCTTCTGGCTGTCGGTGAATATATTAAGGGCCGTGGGCGCCATATTTATTCTAATCCAATTTACACATTCCGTTATTGCTCGGACTTCTGCCTGGAAGCTTGTGTTATGACTTGGTAAACGGTGGTATATTTCTGTTTATGTGTCTTCAATATAGAACCCCAGACCCACTTTTTCCCCCAATTTAGAGCCATCCGTGTAACAACGGAGTCCTACTGGTATTTGCTCTTGTGTTGCGCTTGACCAAGATATTCTATCTGGGATCAGCGTTTCAAAGTTTCCGACATATGCTGTGTCTGTTATGCGATCAGGCACATACGATGATTGTGTATAACCTTCCAATGTGTCCAGTATACATTGATGACGTGTTCTGTAACCGCTTTTGGCCAGTTTCCCTAAAGTAAGGAGCCGTTAGGCTGTAAGCGCCGCCTCATATCTTAAATATGTTTTAATGGGTGGAATATCTAGCAACGTTTCCAGAGCTTTGGTTGAAGTAGTACACATGATACCGCTTATAACCAAGCAGCATGTACGCGGAACTCCCTGTAGTAGTTTCATATTACACTTTTATAAAGCCAATTTGTCATAGTAGGGTCTTATTTAATGCCCATAGTTCTCCTACATATCGCCCAGCACCAATATGCCTTGTTGATCCTATCCTCCACATGGTATCTCCAGTTTAATTTCCGGTCGAGGATTACACCCAAGTACTTAAGTTTGTCTGTCATCGATATCTTCTTGCCCAGGAAGCAAGGTTCAGTATACGTAGAAATTTATGTCTTTCTTGTCAAAAGACAGATTTGAGGCCTCTCGGTTGAGCCCAGCTCAAGTCCGTATTCAGAGCCTCCTCAGCTCTTCTACACAAGTAATTTGGATCCTTTCCCTTTAAAAGTATTACGACATCGTCTGCATAGCAGTTAAGGTACTTAGGAGTCTATTAATCGTGGTAATATACTCCTAAGTACCCTAATGTGGTGACAAAATGCCACCCTGTGGTATACTGTGAAATACCTTTTTCCTGATAGTTCTATCGTACATCTCGTAGCTTATCCATCTGTTCCTTAGCATGTAGTTGATCCAGTACAAGAGCACCCGGTCAACATAAAAATGGTCTAGGGATTGGATAAGAGTATCAGTGTGCACGTTATTGAAGGCGCCTTTGATGTCAATGCATACCGTCAGTGTATACAGTTTGCTATCGAAGGATGCACCTATGTAGTGGACAACATCGTTTACAGCGGTTTCCACCTATCGTTCCTTTACATAAGTGTTGGGGTTTGTATTAAAACAAATTATATTTTTATAAAATATTAAATAACAAAAAAGTTCTATTTATTTGAAAAGTCAAAGTAAGAATGAATAAATGAAAAATTATTTTTGAAACATGTATAAAATATTTCAATGTACTCTTGATATAAATTAAAATATAAAACAAGTTGTTATTATTACAAGTGTCTCCAACATCTCCCCTTTTTGAAGTTAGTTGGTAAAACCAAATCTTTCTGGAGGTTTCACATTTCGCTTTGGTCTTGAAATACTTGCTGGAGGTTCAGCTATTGGAGTGCTAAATGTTAGTGGTGAATGTAATTGATTTTCAGGAGAGCTTGGAGTTGAATTTGCTTCAACTTGTCTTTGTTCTGGAGTACTTGCTGTTACATTTGCTTCAACTAGCCTTAGAGGGGTTGATGGAGTTGAATTTTCTACTGGTGGTCGTATATGAGATTGATTTATAAAATTCGGTTTGATTCCAAATAGTTCTAACATGAGTTGGATTGAATCTGGCTGACTAAAATTGTTATTTTTATATCTTCTTTTTAGTTGGTTGATATGTGATCTTATTAATTTTGACTTATTGTCGTATATGTAAACATTATAATTAACCATCCACATCCATCCATAATCCACACCATTTTGTTATTTTTAAACACCTGTGCATAAACAAGGTCTTTTGCTTTAAAATTTCTCTCTTTGGCACCATATTTTAAATTAAATTGTTGTTCCATTTTAATATTTCGTTGAGGTGCGGAAATTGAATGTTGAGGTTTTAACAAATCTAAAGTTGTTTTTATTTTTCGTTGGAGAAATAATTCAGCTGGAGATTTTGAGTTATCCCTTGGAGTTAATCGGTAAGTCTGTAGGAATATTTCAAGTATCTCATGGCTATTTCCCTCATCCTTAAGTTTTTGAAGAGCTTGTTTTAGTGTTCTTACAAATCTCTCTGCCTGCCCATTCGATTGTGGATGATATGGGGCAGTTTTTATATGTGTGATACCACGAGATTTGATAAACTGATTAAATTGTGCGCTTACAAATTGTGTACCATTGTCTGACACAATTGTTTCACAATCTCCATACCTGGCAAACATTTCTGTTAGTTTGGCTATGATTGTTGAAGATGTGATGTTTGGGACTTGATATATTTCCGGCCACTTTGAGAATGCGTCTATTATTACGAAATAATATTGACCATTGCATGGTCCTGCTATGTCTATATGTAGACGTTCCATTGGTTTTGTTGCTAATGGCCACGACTGTAATGTGTGTTTCACTGGTGCTGTAGCTGCAACTGCACAATTATGACAGTTTCTTACAAAAATTGCGACATCTTCATCTATTCCTGGCCAATAAACATGACTTCTTGCCAATGCTTTCATTCGCTCTTTTCCAGGATGTCCACGATGCAATTGTCTCATGATCTTATTCCTTAGACATTTTGGAATAACGATTCTGTTGTTGTACATTAAACAGTCTTGAACTACGCTTAGACTTTCTCTTCTAGAGTAAAATTGAGTCAGTTCTGGATTTTTATTTGAAGTCCATCCGTTTTGTAGTGCATGAATTACTGACTGAATTGTTTGACATTTCTGAGTTGCTTGCTTTACCATGTTGAATGTTACAGGTAACTGATCAAAATGGTTCATGAGTATGGCTGTGCAATCTTCCTCAAGTGTCGTACAAGCAATGACGATTTCCTCATCTGGTTTTAACTCGGTATCGATTAGTCTTGAAAGCATATCGACACAACCAAATTCTTTTGTGTTTATGTACTGAATCTTGAAATTGTACATCATTAAAGTAAGTGCCCATCTCTGTAGTCTATTTGCTGAATAAACTGGAATACCTTTTTTACTTCCAAAAATAGCTAAAAGCGGTTTATGGTCCGTACACAGGATAAATTCCCTTCCATAAATGTACTTATGGAATTTTTCTACAGCATATACCAGACCAAGTGCTTCTTTTTCTATTTGCGCATAGTTTTTTTCCGCTGGAGTGAGAGTACGGGAAGCATGTTCTATTACTTTCTCCGAATTGTCTGGAAAAATGTGACAAATGTAAGCTCCAATTCCTTTTCCTGAAGCGTCGGCTGCAACTTTGATTGGCAGATCCGGGTTGTAGTGGGTTAAAAGGAGATCTGAATTTAAAATTTCCTTAAATTTTTCAAAGGATTGTTGGCATTCGTTTGACCATTTAAATTTGGTGTTATCTTGAAGTAGATGATCAAGAGGAGTTCTTAAATTGGTCATATTTTTAACATATTTTCCATAATAGTTTATGGATCCGAGAAATGATCTTAACTCAGATATATTTGATGGTGGTGGTAGATCTAAAATTGCTTTGATCTTTTCTTTATCAGGACGTAAACCCGATGAAGGCATGATATTGCCAAGGTATTTCACCTCTTTTGCAAAAAATGTGCACTTCTCAAATTTGATATGAAAACTATACTCACGAAGTCTTTGAAGAACTCTCTTTACGTTATCGATGTGTTTTTCCACCGTTTTACCACCAACGATTATGTCATCAATGTAGGCTGCTGTATCATCTATGCCTATTAACATGGTGTCCATTAACTGTTGAAAAGCACCTGGAGCACTTTTTACACCGGGAGCTAGACGATTGAATGTATATAACCCTTTATGAGTATTGATTGTCAGAAGTTTAGCTGAGTCTGGAGAAACTTCTGTTTGTAAATACGCGTCTGACAAATCAATATGCGTAAATAAACAACTGTTCCCTACTTTTGCATATAAGTCCTCAGGACGATGTAAGGGATACATATGTGGTTCTAGACTGTCATTAAGACCAGATGAATAGTCTCCACATATTCTAACTTTTCCGTTAGGCTTCTTCACTGCAACAATGGGTGCTGCCCACTCTGCGTTATCAACTGGATTGATTATGCCTAATGTTTCCAATCGCTGCAATTCATCTTCAATTAAACTTAGCATAGCATAACCAACAGGTCTCTTCACACGGAAAATTGGTTTGACGTTTGGTTTAAGTTGTAAATGTACTTGTGCTTTAGTACATTTTGAAGGAGAATTTTGAAAAATATCGGCATATTCAGATTTGATGTTATGTAGGACATTAATGTCAATTTCTTGATCCTTTATTTGAGAACATACATTGCTTAATGGTTTGTCCCATAGTCCAAAAATCTCAAGCCAATCTGAACCAAAAATTGAGAGAGTATCAATGTCTACAACTAATAAATTACAATGTTTTACATCACCTTGGAGCCGAACTTGACATGGAAACTCGGCTATGAGTTTGATCTGATCCTTTGAAGCGCTTGTGACATAACGATTTGACAGTTTTGTGCCTGGATTACCCATTTTTCGCCATAACGTTTTACCAATAATCGACACATCTGATGCGGTATCGATTTGCATTTTGCAGATGTTGTTGATGATGAAGGTATTATATTGACTGTGACAAATTTCCTTCTTGACTCATACGAGATCCGGTTGATTTGAACAACATTGGACTTCGGTTTTGAATATTTGTGATTCTTGTTATATTTCTTTTTCTTTTCATGAGTGAACTTGTTTTCTGACTGATGATTCTTGCAGTAACCTTCTTTATGTCCCATGTTTTTACATTGTGTACATACATGTTTTAAATAGGTGCAATATTTTGAATAGTGCATGGCACCACAGTTCCAACAGGGGGTTTTTGGCTTCACCTTACCTTTAAAATCATCATTTGATTTTAGATTTGATTTTATAGCATTTATGGATGATTGTGTGTTAACTTCTACCATTGCTGTATCGTGTTTTAAGTTTAGCAATCTTTGAGCACTAGTAATTAGCTTATTAATGTTTTGATTACGGTCATCTTCTAGAGCTGAAAGACATCTCATTCGAACATCAGAGTATGCATTGGATTGTAGACCACAAACAAATACTAAGCATTTGAATTCATCTGCGTTCATCTCAGATAACTTAAAATTTTCACACAGTTTGTTGACACGAGCTCCATACGAAATTAAATCCTCATGTGACATCTTGACAGTTTGTAAACATTTATATCGAATACTAAAAATTGAATCTTGAATTCCATACATATCCTTAAGAATTTTGACCGTATCCGCAAAAGTGACATCTCTTGGATTTCTTGGTAGAATGTATGCTGAGTATTGCCCATAAGCAATATTGTTTAGTTTTCGCATTAGGAGTCTCACACGTGCAGCATCGTCTAAATCCTTGCCTTCTACGAGAAAAATATCTTCAAAACGAGCATACCAATTATTGAATGTTGATGAATTTGCTTGATCATAGCAAAATTCAGTTATGCTGATCGATAATTTTTCCATTAGTAAATCTTGATTGATGCTTGATGCATTTCCTTGGGTAAGGGTTGCAAGAAGTTTGCTTTGTAACTCCAAAAGTTCCAGTATTTTTGAATCTTGAGCCATAATCCTCGTCGCCAATTTGTTGGGGTTTGTATTAAAACAAATTATATTTTTATAAAATATTAAATAACAAAAAAGTTCTATTTATTTGAAAAGTCAAAGTAAGAATGAATAAATGAAAAATTATTTTTGAAACATGTATAAAATATTTCAATGTACTCTTGATATAAATTAAAATTATAAAACAAGTTGTTATTATTACAAGTGTCTCCAACAATAAGCATGATGCTTAAATTTTAGGTCTTTGTCGGCTATACTGCTTTTAACCATAGTATCAACTATCCGTTCCAAGGTTTTAAGTAGGAAGGACGTAAGACTTATCGGTCGATAAGACTTAGGTGTCGAATAGCTAGGTTTCCCTGGTTTTGGTATAAATATTACCCTTGCATCCTGCCATTTAATGGGGGTATATGTTAATTTCAAGCATGCAGTGAATATCTGAGACAGATGTACGGAAACCAGTCCCGCCTCCATCTGCAAGAGTACCGGGCAAATGCCATCCAGCCCTGCAGCTTTATAGGGAGCGAAGCTCTTGATTGCCCCTTTAACCATATCAGATGTAATTACAATTTCCGTGTTAGCCTCCCCTTCATCCAATATCGGTTCATCTATGTTATTCGATATACCGGGTGGAAAATGAGAGTCCATTAGAAGTTTCATTGTCTCGTCCATATCCTCCTGCCCGTATCATCGACCATAGATTCCGGTTGTACATGAGTTTTGGATAGGAATTTTTTTATCTTCGATACGTCATTTACGCTGTCTACCTGTTCACAGAAAAGTTTTCAGGAGTCTCGTTTGGCTTTTCGAACAAGTTTTTTATATTCACCAAGGTTAAATAGTTTGCGAAGAGTCTTCCCAATGTTCCGGATCTCCCCTGTTACCCAGGGTTTCTGCTGTGCTGATCTCCGCTCTCGCAGAGGCCAGCTGTTCTCGAACGATTCAATCATGACACTTGTGAGCATTCTACTTTAGCGTCTATGCCCTCTTTATTTCGACATTGAAAATTGTCCTGACATAAAGAGTTCTTTAGTATGGTCCCGAACATTGTCCAATTAGTTTTAGACTTATTCCGAAACTTTATCCTCTTTTGTGCGGCCGAAGTATTTTAAATCTTATGTACCGATGGTCACAAAAGGAGTGCTTGTTCGAAACTCTACAATCCTGAATTTCCTTTATAAGCTCTTCTCAACGTATAGTTATATCTAATACTTCTTCTCTGATTCCATTGACGAAGGTAGCTTTATTACCTATGTTGAATGTGATCAAGTCTTTAATATTAAGGAAGTCCATGAGGGCTTGTTCTCTATCTAGTGTACTTTGTTGACGTGTCCTATAACTGACTTTGGCAAGTTAGTCTAAAGTAAACAACCATACGGCTGTAAGTGGCTCCTTATAACTCAATACTACTCAAGTACTTACATACATACATATGTATTACTAAATGTTCATAATAGTACCAAAACAACTCATAATTACTCGTTTAGTTTGAGGTGGTCTCAGATTTTTACTCATATCTCCGTTATTTATTGACGGATTTTGCTGATTTTCAAGAGGAAACTTCTTGTATGCCGTTTCTGACAGAATTATTGAAGATTTAAATCTAAAATATATCTGAGGTCTTCAGTAAATTGAATTCAACAGACAGACGGACATGGATTAATCGACTCCGCTATCTAAGGGGATCCAGAATATACATAAATTTATGATTATATTATGGAATTTATAAACAGAATGACAAACTTATATACTTATACCCTTCACATGTAGATGAAGGGTATAAATATGTCCGTTTTTACGTGTCAACAGTGTCGCCAAATGTGGGGATTTGTCCCCAAATTAGCGATTTCATGTCTTATTTGGGATAAATTTTCGTGGAAGGGACTTGGGGATTTTCGAAAAATTTGGGGATTTTTTATAATATTTCCACTATTTTTGGGGATTTTCATATTTCTTATAAATATTAACAATTCATTCTAGTTTATTTTTTAAAATATTTTAAACAGCGTTCGCAACTTACCCTCTCCGACTAGGAGAAATACTCTTTGAACAAATACAAAATTCTAAAGAATTTTCAAAATCGTAAATTTTTTAGATTATAGCGAATTTCTAATTAAATTGCTCGATTTTATTAATCTTTGTCTCAAATTAATGGTTATATTGTTCTAGCTTGACAATTTTTGAGAAAAAAATGTATTGGTTTTAAATAAGGATATTAAATTCAAAAACATATTTGAGTGAAGTATATCTCAAAAAAGGGATATCTTCGATTTTTGTAATACTAACATTAAAATTAGAATATAGTCTCTGATACATATAGAGAATGGGTCCATTAGGGAATTTCAAGAATATTTTTATAGTGAAATAATCAACATTATTTTCATTCAAATTAAATAATTTTAAAATTAGTTTTCGACGAACAATATTAAACTTATGAAATAATTCTTGAAATTACTGCCTGATTTTCTCTAAATGCTATCACTTACTTACAAATTCTAGAAAAGAATGAAATTTTGAAACGTCATGACGCAACAATATTTTATTTTATTTTTTTAGGAAAAATTTGAAATGACCAAAAAATAATAAATTCTGTCGATAAGACAGTACAGAGCAGGAGCATTCTGCTGTGCACAGAAATTTCGTCAAGCTGTGTGCAGCAATACCATTTTTTTTATATGTGCTGCGCCAAATAAAAGTCAGCCTAGGGATACACAGCAGCATAGGTCCCATAAGTAATACACGTGTTTGTGTGAGGTGCACAGCCAAATCTGCTTATTCGCAGCAACACTCATAACAACTTTTATGATGAGGTGATAGCGAGTGACAATTTGTGAAAATATTTCTATGTGGTTTCAATAAATGTCAGATTTTTTTATATGTGATTTGACATTCTGGAAACTCAAAGCCAGCTGTATGCAATCTTCTTTTCTAATTACCATGTTAATAAACTGTTTTAGCTGAACTGCTTTACCGGCAGAGTTGATGTGGCAATGCTATCCGTTAGTTATGTCAAGACAGTGGTTTGTGTCATTGCTATTAATGTGTGTGGCTTTACTAAATAAAAAAGATACTGCCAGATGTAATAAACTGTGTAGAATGTATATTAAACAAATTGTTGCCAGCACTAATTTATATTGAATCCACTTTTTCAAACAGTTGAAATCTTAATTGCATAGTATCTAAATGTTAATTTTTGGAATATCAAAATTAGCTTTTTGCTCTGAAAAGAATTTTTTTGCTAACAAAGTTTGGAAAAAAACAAGTAAGAAAGTATAGTCGGACGTGACACATTTAAGCAATTTATGGATGAAAAACTAATTTTCTGCAAGAGGCTTTATATGGGGGGCTAGGGCAAATATGGACCAAGCACGAGAAAGTTTTGTGACTGTATTTATATTGATATACTATTTTTTGTGCTGAATTTCATCGCGATATTTGTGTTTATAAGTTAATTTTGGGCATTCAAGTAATTTTCTGAAGGGGACTTTTTATGGGAGCTAGGGTCAAATGAGGCCCGATCTTTATGAAATTTGGCAAGGTCATCGAGACTTGTATAAAACTTAGTTGTGCCGCTATTTATCGATATACAGGTTATGTTGTATGGGGGCTAGGTGAAATAATGGACTGATTTTAACCATTTTTAATAGTCTTCGTCCTTGGGCCAAAAAAATTTCATCCAATTATCTTGCACAAGTTTACATGGACAGCCAGCCAGACGGACGGACGGACATAGCTTATACGACTCAGAAAACGATTCTGATTGGTATACTTTAAGGTGGGTACATCACCAGTTCCGAAGGTGACAATTTCGAACAGAAATCTTTGGTCTAAACACCAAAGTAGAACGAGTACTGGCTATAATCATCCGTTCTTGAACTTGTTGCCTGGCTTTTTTTAGATCCAAATATCTTGTGAGCAATATTATTCCGCATATAATATCCCTCACGAAAACTGATTGAAAAATTCTAAAAAAAAAACTATACTATACTTATATGGTTTTTCCCACCGACAAAGGTGCGCACAACAGGTCAAGATATAAATACATATATGTACATTAGGGTGGACTAAAATTAAAGTTTAATCTATACATATATAAATGAATGTGTGTTTGTATGTATGAATGTTTGTTTGAACTTTATAGACGGCTAAACGGCTGAACCGATTTTCTTGAAATTTTCACAGTGTCTTCCGGTATATCTGGAAGGAACTATAGGCTACCATTTGTTTTGGAAATTCAAGTAGGCGAGGTGCTACGCCCACATACATAATAACTATTAAAAGTCGCATATCTCAGCTAGAGTCCCCAAATTTTGTATGAACCACTTTGACATCCATATGAACACATGTTTGCAAAATGGGCAGCCATGGTACAGTAGGCTTGGCACTTCTCATATAAACAAATCTTAAATCAGTATATATGGAAAAGTATAACAACTAGAGTCCCCAATTTTTTTCGGACCCACTTTAGTAATGACATGAATATTTAGGACAAAAATTTGGCGGACTAGCAATAGGGGGCGTGGCAATTCCTATGGGAGTTATATACTAAAATTAGTTTATCTGGGAAACTATTGGAGTTAGAATCTTAAAATTTTGCACGATGACTTTTAACATACATGTGAAAATTTCGGTGTAAAATGGGCGGACTTTCACAACGGGGCCTTGGCACCTCCCTTATGAATTAAATACAAAAATTCGTTTATCTCAGAAATTATTAGAGCCAAAATTCTAAAATTTGATATCTATGTCAACATTTGTGTGATACCTGGTACCTCCCATATGAATTAAATACAAAAATTCGTTTTTATAGGAAACTATTGGAGCTGGAATCTTCAAATTGTGTACGAAGAACTTTAACATCCATGTGAACATTTGAGAGAAAAATGGGAGGATTGGCATCTCACATATGAATAAATTACAAAAATTCGTATATCTGGGAAACTGTTAGATCTAGAATCGTGAAGAACTCCGACATCCACCCAAATATTTTAAAATTTAACCTA